CAACCCCATTTACTTACCAGAATACAGAACTCAGACTCACAATTTCTTAGACATAATTCCTCTCAAACCTTTTCCTCAAAGATTAAGAGAAGAAGCCTGTCCACCAATAGACTTATGTTATTTCTTCCTTACTGTGAGCTGAATGACATGACAAAACAGAGGCAAAGAGGCATACATCAATTCTTCAAAGTATGAAGTCAAAAAGGTCAGAGTTTCCACAGCATGGCAACAGCTTTGCAGATGCCCACATCGTGATAGTTGAAATAGCAAAGCCCGGCAAAGGTTAAAGCTGAAAGTGCCAAAAGCCCTGCCTTGGCAGCTTTCTGCGAGGCATCCCCATGAACATAGTCAGTAACAACTTGTCCAAGGCCCCTAAAGAAAAAGAAAACATCATAACATCAATGAAAAACCACAGTGAAATTGGAAGACTATACAGATAACTTGGCTACAAAAAAACTAATCTGTCAAGTTCAAATGCAGTGTCTTCATCCGCCACTCCACAGCACTGTTTGCTTCTTTAGGGGATTCTGTACAGCCTTCTTTTTTTTTTTTTGTCAGTCAGTTGATTTCTAGTGACTTTTTTTTTTTTTTTTTTAGAGACAAGGTCTTACTCTGTTGCCCACACCGCAGCCTCGAACTCCTGAGCTTAAGTGATCGTCTCACCTCAGCCTCCCAAGTAGCTGGGACTATGGGAGCATGCCTCCATGCCTCGCTAATTGTTTTTTCTTTCTTTTAGAGTCTCGCTCTGTCGTCCAGGCTAGAGTGCAATAGCATGATCTTGGCTCACTGCAACCTCTCCCTCCCGGGTTCAAGCAATTCTCCTGCCTCGGCCTCCTGAGTAGCTGGGATTATAAGCACCCGCCACCATGCCCAGCTAATTTTTGTACTTTTAGTAGAGACGGGGGTTTCACCATGGTGGCCAGCCTGGTCTCGAACTCCTGACTGCAGGTGATCCGCCCACCTCAGCCTCCCAAAGTGCTGGGATTACAGGCATGAGCCACACCTGGCCTGTTTTTCATTTCTTTAGAGATGCAGTCTCACTATGATGCCCAGGCTAGTCTTGAACTCTTGGCTGCAAGTGATCCTCTCGCCTCAATAACTAAAAATAACTAAAACCCTACAGCATTTTTAGTTGATTCAAAAAGAATTTATCAAGTAGCTATTATGCACCAGAATCTGTCATAAATGTTGGGGGTGTAGTAAGTGGGACAGCATCCCTGCCTTTATGGAACAAATATACTAGTGAATGAGAAAGAAAAAGTAAATATATCTGTACTATGAAGAAACATTTTAGAAAGGAAGATGTGAATGAGTGAGAACTTCCAAACAAAAGTGGCATCTCTAATGAATAGTAAGATGGCTGGAGCACACGGTTGAAGGAGAGATCAGAGGAAGGTAGAGGCCGGCTGCATAGGATCTTGAAGGTCATGATATAGAATCTGAATTTTATATGAAATATAATAGGAAACCACTGATAGGTTTTAAGCAGGGAGTGCCTTAGGCTTATAAGGTGTGACCTAATTTTGCTATTTTTATAACACTTTTATTGAAATGTAAGTAACATACCATAAAAATTTCACCCTTTTTTTGTATATAATCCAGTGGTGTTTTTTTTTTTTTTTTTTT